CCACGTTGGCCAGGCCCTGGTCTAGGTTGTGGCCCTGGAGGCACTGCCAGAATTTCCCTCAGGCCTCGGCTCTTTTTCTCCATGGTGCTTTTGGATAACTCAGGGTGCTTCTCTTTGACTTGTCATTTCCTTCATGGTCAGTTTTGTTTTCTGTCTCATAAATCTTTTCCTCACCCACAATCATGACGATACCCTCCTTAGCAACCTCCAAAGGTTCATGGTCGCCTTTTCCAGTGTCCTCACCCACCCGGCCTTGGTTATTTTCGGAGTAGGATGGTTTAATACAAGCTGAGAGTTTGACTTTTTTTTTCTAATTTCAGCACCAGGAACGATGTTTGTGGTCTGTATTTTTAATTGTAAGATACACACTAAAATTCACCAGTTTCATTGTGCAGTTTGGGGACTTTTCCCCCCTGTCCAGTCTCACAGACTCGCGGACTCGCCGGCAGTGCTGGCCCAGAGCTCGGTCCCCACAGGCCTCCCTCAGGCCCCTCTGGCCAGTCCCTGCCCGGCCCGGACTGTGCATCCCGCCTGCATCCTCCCACCAGACTTCCCGTTCTGGAATTGCGTGGCGCGTGGGAACATGCTCCTGCGTCTGCCCCCCTCCCCCGTGGCATCGTGGGCGCCTGCGTTCACTCACTGCGGAGCCGCGTCTGCGTGGGGAGGGGTTATGCTGTGTTTATCAGCCGCCTCCTGAGGGACTAGGTGCTTGTTTCCAGTTTGGGGCTGTTAGGAAAGGGGCTGCTTTGAACATGGTTGTATAAGACTTTGAGAGGATGTGTGTGTTAGTGTCTTTTTTTTTTTTTTTTTTTTTTTGAGATGGAGTTCCCCAGGCTTGTTCCCCAGGCTGGAGTGCAGTGGCGCGATCTCAGCTCACCACAACCTCCACCTCCCAGGTTCAAGCGATTCTCCTGTCTCAGCCTCCCCAAAAGTTGGGATTACAGGCACGCGCCACCATGTCTGGCTGATTTTGTATTTTTAGTAGAGACGGGGTTTCTCTATGTTGGTCAGGCTGGTCTCGAACTCCCAACCTCAGGTGATCTGCCTGCCTCAGCCTCCCAAAGTCCTGGGATTACAGGCATGAGCAACTGCACCTGGCCGTGTCTTTTTTTTTTTTTTTGAGATGAAGTCTCACTCTGTCATCCAGGCTGGAATGCAGTGCTGTCATCTCAGCTCACTACAGCCTCTGCCTCACAGGTTCAAGTGATTCTCCTGCCTCAGCCTCCTGAGTAGCTGGGACCATAGACGCCTACTACCACGCCCAGCTAATTTTTTGTATTTTTGGTAGAGACGGGGTTTCACCACGTTGCCGGGGTGGTCTCAAACTCCTGATCTCATGTGATCCACCTGCCTTGGCCTCCCAAAGTGCTAGGATTACAGGCGTGAGCCACTGCACAACCAGCTGAGGGTCTTCAACAGAAAATTTATTTGGTTAAAGGTATTTCCTTCTCTTCTTAGTTTGCTAAGAGTTTTGTTTGTTTGTTTGTTCATTTGTTTGTTTTTGAGATGGAGTCTCGCTCTGACGCTCATGCTGGAGTGCAGTGGCATGATCTCGGCTCACTGCAACCTCTGCCTCCCGGGTTCAAGCGATTCTCCTGCCTCAGCCTCCCGAGTAGCTGGGACTACAGGCACCTGCCACCACACCCGGCTAATTTTTTGTATTTTTTAGTAGAGACGGACTTTCACCATGTTAGCCAGAATGGTCTCCATCTCCTGACCTCATGATCTGCCAGCCTTGGCCTCCCAAAGTGCTGGGATTACAGACCTGAGCCAGTGTGCCCAGCTGAGTTTTGTTTTTTTAAAATCATGAGTAGATAATGATTTTGTCAAATGATTTTTATGCACCTGCAGGAAGATCATGTGATTTTTATCCTTGTATCTTTTGTCATAAATTGTATCTTTTTTCCATACACATTAAGCTCACTTTGTTTTCTAGGACTCTGAGTTTGTCAAGAATGATTATCTTTTTGTATATTTCTAAATAAGGGTGACTAACCTTTTTCTTTGGATTTTTACCTCTGTGTTTCCTGGTGAGGTTAATGTTGAGTTCTTGCCGTCTGCCCTTGTCAGGGTCTGGTAATGTCAGGCTCTTACCATGAGTTCTCCAAGAAGAGTGTGAGACTGAATTGTTTGTGCCCTGAGCATCTGGTGAAACCACCTGCAGCCCTCCGGGGCCTGGCGCTGTCTTAGAATGGACTTTCTGACCATTCTGGAACTTTCTGGGTTTCCTCTGCTGGTCTCAATGCTGGTGAATTACTGTTCTAGGAACTTATCAGTTTCACGTAAACTTTCCATTTTATTAGGGTCAAGTTCATCATATCCTGTCCGTGCTCAGACATCACCTGCTTTAGGTGCACCCGGTTTAACAGTGCACAGCCAGCTCCCCTGAATCCGTGGGTCCAGTCAACACAGATTGAAAATATTTGGGAACCAAAATAATAAAAAAAGAATACAACAATAACAATAATGCAGATCTTAAAAATACAGTAGAACAACTATTGACATAGTGTTTACAGCATGTTAAGTGTTGCAAGTAATCTGAGGATGGCATAGAGTGCATGGGGGGGGGGTGGCGTGCGCAGCTTCTGTGCAGATTTGACACCACTTCATGTCCAGGACTTAAACACCTGTGGATTTTGGTATCAGAGCGGCGTCCTGGAACTAGTCCCCAACGGATGCCAAGGGATGGCTGTGTTTGTCACCTTCTAACCATAGTAAATAATTGGCCTGTTTGTTAGTGATTGTCTGCCTTCATTAGAATGCTGGCTCCAAGGTCTGCGTCTTATGTTTTCACTGAAGTCCCAGAACCCCTGTCAGGAGCTGCCAGCTGTGCCAGCCAACACAGGAACCACTGGCCACAGTTTAATTAAAATTAAATACAATTAAAAATTCATTCGGTTGGCCAGGTGTGTTGGCTCACACCTGTAATCCCAGCACTTTGGGAGGCTGAGGTGGGCGGACCACTGGAGGCCAGGAGTTCGAGACCAGCCTGGGCAACATAGTAAAACCCCGTCTCTACTAAAAATACAAAAGGCTGGGCATGGTGGCAGACGTCTATAATCCCAGTTACTTGGGAGGATGAGGCACAAGAATCGCTTGAACGTGGGAAGTGGAGGTTACAGTGAGCCGAGATTGCACCACTGCACTCTAGCGTGGGTGACAGAGCAAGACTCCATCTTAAAAAAACCAAATGGGCTGGGCACGGTGGCTCACACCTGTAATCTCAGCACTTTGGGAGACTGAGGCAGGAGGATCACTTGAGCCCAGAAGTTTGCAGCCAGCGAACTGCCCTGGATAACAGACTGAGACCCTGCCTCTACTAAAAATACAAAAAGTAGCCAGGTGTAGTGGTGCATGCTTGTAATCCCAGCTACTCAGGAGGCTGAGGTGGGAGGATTGCTCAAGCCCACGAGGTCAAGGCTGCAGTGAGCCAAGATCGTGCCACTGCACTCCAGCCTGGGTGGCAGAGCAAGACGCTGTCTCAAAAAAAAGAATAATAATTATGAGATCCTTCAGTCCCACAAGCCACAGTTCAAGTGCTCCACACCATGTGTGGTCAGCAGCTGTGCTGTTGGGCAGTGGAGATGTGGAAGCTCCCAGTGTTGCAGAATGTTCCGGAAGCCTGGCTTTGAGCCTGACTTCATTCTCTTCATCTTGTTTCTCTTCTCTCTCCCTCAAGAGCCTCAGACATGCCTGCTGATATCCCCTTATACTTGCCTGGGAAGACTGACTCTACTCTTTCCCTTCTTCCTCACTTTTTATGTAAAAGTTAACTGAGCTTCAAAGACTATTTAATAAAAAGTGCAGTTATGGGAAACTGGAATAGAAATGATACAAATGGGGTAGAAAATGAAGAGCGTGAAAGTATTTAATATCTGTTAGTAAGCCACAGACACTGTACATCATCCCAGGCCCCCACTTTCCACAGTCTGACTCCAGCCACCCATTTCCCCAGCTCAGACAGGAACATGGGAGAGGCCACCGAGGTTCCTGGGGAAGCCTTCCCAGCATGGCAGTCACCCTGGTGCCTCATCCCAGAGGCAGGGTCCCCCACGTGGTCCCCTGGGTCCTATGGCGCCTGCTGCCTGTCTTTTAGGTGGAGACCATGTCCCTACCCTGCCCCTCCCTGTCTGTCTACGGCCCCAGGTGCCTTCCCTGGCCCCAACGGAGCGCTGTGCGTACCGTGTCACCATCCTGTCCCCACAGAACGCACGTGTCCTTATCCCTGCTGAGCCCAGTACCAGGCTCAGTGCCTGCACTGGGGCCCTTGGTGTACATCTGCCAGGCGCAGGCAGGTCTGTGACTGGGAAAGAACACAGCGCTCTGGGCCGGGCGCGGTGGCTCAAGCCTGTAATCCCAGCACTTTGGGAGGCCGAGACGGGTGGATCACGAGGTCAGGAGATCGAGACCATCCTGGCTAGCACAGTGAAACCCCGCCTCTACTAAAAAATACAAAAATCTAGCCGGGCGAGGTGGCGGGCGCCTGTAGTCCCAGCTACTCGGGAGGCTGAGGCAGGAGAATGGCGTAAACCTGGGAGGCGGAGCTTGCAGTGACCTGAGATCCGGCCACTGCACTCCAGCCTGGGCGACAGAGCGAGACTCCGTCTCAAAAAAAAGAACACAGCGCTCTGTGCACAGCGGCAGAACTGCGGCGCTCTCGTGCTGCCTCGTGGACCCGGCCCTCACTGCCTTGCCCCTGAGGCCCTGCATTTCCGCAGATCACCCCTAAAATTCACCCCTCCTCCGGGGAGCTTCCACCCAAGAGCTTCCTCTTGGGCCCAAAACAGCATGATGGGGCCCCCAGCTGCCCCCCACCCCCGTGGGCCGCGTGCCCACTCCTGCTGTCTCTGATGCCTTGGGCCTCCCAGGTCCCTGAAGAACTTTCGTTTATTTTAAGCAAAGAACAGACCAGTGTAACCGAGCAAGGCTTGGTACCGCGGTGGGGTGGGGGCCGTCCGCCTGCAGTCCAAGGGTAACCCTGTTGTGCTTTTTCTCCGCAGGCGTCACAATGTAGCAGGGACCCCAGGCGTCGTGCTCAGGTAAGTGCACGTAGGCCGACTGCCCTCCTCTTTCCGCGCCTGTGAACTGCCGGACTTTGCCGAGACCACGCTTTGTGCATGTGGTCGCCATGCCTTGCAGCGCCTCTTAAACGCCGGCTCTGAGGACAGGCTGGAGCCATGCGTGGGTCCTTAGCTTTTCTCGCGGTCAGTACTTCTGATTGACCCCATTCCGCCTTTTGCTCGGTGGGGCTTGGTTGCGAGTTCTAGTCTAAATGGCGGAGTTGTGGCAGTCACACAGCCACGACACGAAGTGAACTAACAGGTGCCATTTCTGTGCTAGAAAATGGAAAAAGAGCCAGGGCCGGAAGGAGGGTGCAGAAGCGAGCCCGCGTGCGGAGCCAGGAGGCAGCGTCGCGTGGGAGTGCTGGCCTGAAGCCTCCATGCCCCGGCAGAGGGACGGACACGCGGACGTCTAGCGGAGGTGAGGCCCACGTCCCCGACCCCGGGGGTGCTGCTGACTCCTTGTCCAGCCCTGTTGCCTGTTGTGGGGAGGGCGGGCGATCATGAGTAGCAGGCGGGTCAGGACACGGTGCAGCATTCACGGTTCACTGCCGAGTTTTCCTGGCCCCTCCTGTAAGAGTCCAAGATCCAGCCAGCTGTGGAGGGCCCAGGCCTTGATGGCAGCGCGGGGTGCAGAGGGCTGGTTTCCTTCCGTCACTGGTTCACTTGGGTGCCCTCCGGACGGCGTGTGGCGGAGGAGCAGTGCTGTGTGGGGGCGCAGCCTGGGGCCTCTGCCCAGTGAGTTGTGAGGCAGTTGACTAGCACTGGGAGATCCTCTGGCACAGGGCAGGGCTCTCTCGCTCCTCCCGGGTGGGTGTGGTCCTCAGGGGCACAGGGCGGGGCTCCCCGTCCCAGGTGGGTGTGGTCTCAAGTGCGCAGGGTGGGGCTCCCCCTCCCAAATGGGTGTGCTCCTCAGGGGCTCAGGGTGGGGCTCACCTCCCCTCCTGTGTGGGCGTAGTCCTCAGGTACGCCGGGTGGGGCTCCCCCTCCCAGGTGGGTGTGGTTCTCAGGGGCGCAGGGCGGGGCTCCCCTCCCCTCCTGGGGGAGCGTGGTCCTCGGGCTCAGGGCGGGGCTCCGCCCCCCTCCCCTCCGTCTCCCTTCCCCTTCCTGGGCAGGCTCCTTGTCCTCAGTGCGCATCAGGTCTCCCGAACCTCACAGCCCCACAGGGAGGAGGAGGGGAGGATTTGACTTTGGAAGTCTCTGTGACCAGGTGAGGACCGCAGGCGTAAAGGTGGTGGCATAGTGGTCGGGGACAGGCCTCACCCACAGGCATGTGACCCCTGGATGAGCCCAGCTTTCGGCTGCTTCGTGGGACCCCCAGGCCCGCGCCTGCAGCAGGCGGCGTGGGGCTCAGCAGAGAGCTCCAGGCTGGGCTTCTTGGTGGCGGTGATGACGGAAGTGGTGTCACGCATGCAGCAGTTTGGGTCGCGGCTTTCCCTCCTCACTGAGGGAGACTCGTGCCTGCTTCTTTCCTGGTGAAAGGTCTGGGGAGCGAACTCCCAGTAGTGGGGTGCACCCCGGCCAGCCTGAGTCCCCGCCAGCCTCCGCCCGCGCAGCGGCCCTGCTCTCTTGCTGCCGGTGTGCGGTGACGTCGGGGGTCTCCTCCCTGAAGGCGCAGGTCTGGTGGGCGAGCAGAGCGGCTGCGGCAGCTCTCAAGGCAGGGCCTCCGCCAGCCACTGTGGCCTGGCCTTGTGCCCGCCCTGCGAGGGTAGAGTGGGGCCCCGGGGCGACGCGGCCCCTGCCCGGTGCTGCCTCAGGCTCTGGGAGACACAGCCTCGGGACACCCCGTGGAAGCGGCGCCGGCCCGGAAGTGAATGGGGAGGAAGGGGGAAGGGCGCACAGCCCAGACTCTAAACTGGGCCCAGGGGCCGCGCTGTGAGCCGCACAGGGTCCAGGTGCCCAGAGCCTGCCCATCCTCATCCCATCCGGCAGCTCTGCCCTCGCGGGCGCCTCCTGCTCCCTCCGCCTTCACCGACAGAGGGTCCCGGGATCCTGCCTCTCTGAAGCTTTATGGACCCTCCTCAGTCTTCACTGCGGGAGGAGAGGAAGGGGTGTCAGGCACAGAGAGAAGCCAGTGCCGGGGGAGCCGGGGGCTTTTGAAAAGGTGGCCTTATCCCAGCGCACACAGACACTGGGTTGCTGACCGTGCCCTGCACATGGGAGCCTGGGACCCAGTGAGCCCAGGAGGCTCCTGCCGCCCTGCCCGGGGCCTGCACCTTCCTCCCAGCCTGCATGGTCTTCCTCGGAGGGCCGCTGTCAGAACTAAGCCAAGGATGAAAGGCTTTGGAGAGTTTCAGGTGTCAATTAATCGCATTTTGTCTTGCAGAAGCCAAAGATGTTGACCAGGAAGATCAAGCTGTGGGACATCAACGCCCACATCACCTGCCGCCTGTGCAGTGGGTACCTCATCGACGCCACCACGGTGACGGAGTGCCTGCACACCTGTGCGTGCCCCGCCCAGGCCACCCAGGGAGGGCGTGCCCTTCCCAGCTGTGTGCTCTTCAGAACCTTGGCCTTTGTTTTACCACGAGCTTTGAGCTCAAGCCCCGACAAAAGCAGGACCCAGGACCAGGGGCAGAGAGGATCTTGAGGATAAGTCAGAAAAGTCATTTTACACTAAAGGTCCTGTGAGTGGTTTCAGAGCAGATGAGGCCTCACTTAGGAGAGCGAAACACAGGAGAGGCCACGCTCCTGCCACTGAGCAGTAGGGCCAGTGGCCGCTGTGACACGGCGCTCACTGCTGGCGGTTTCCACATCTCCGAAGGAGCTCCTTAAATCCTTCAAAGGGGAACCTGCCAGTATGCTCCTCACACTGGATGTGTGTCCTCACACCTGATGAGCCTGTGCGTTGGTGTTAGAGGACTCACAACTGGGGCTTGACCTGGGTGTTTCTCTAAGTGTGGCTGCAGCTGACGGGCAGGCGTCATCGGTCAGGCTGAGGCTCAGTTCTTGTGCTAACATGAGGCCTCATGGCTGGCGGCCCTGCTGGTGTGGACGACCACTGTGTGCGTCTCTTGATGGCTGAGGAGCATTTCGCTTAAACAGGATCTTTAAAATAAAGTGTACACTTACAATACAAGTGATGCTTGTGTATTTCTCATTTTAGAAAATAAAATATTTGCCAAGTTGATAGAATTTTGACTTTAACGTTAATCGTATTTTTAGATATTGGTTAGCATATTTTATGTTAGGTTATTTTCATTTCATTTTATCTAGTTGTACATAGAAGATACTGTCATCTTTCAGGACAAAGTATTGTAAAATTATCTATATTAGCCCATGTTCTGATGACCCACAGCTCTCTCACCTTTGAGCATCATCTCCCCATTCTAAGTGTTTCTTCCCACTTAAATCCTAACTCTGCCTCTTTGAGGAAGCCCATTGACAGGGCAGTTAAAACTTTCTCATTGCTTCTGATACCAGAACAGCAAGATGTTTCCTTTCAGAAGCCAAGAGCCATAAGGAGGACAGCAGTGAGCATCTGCAAAAAAATGAGCTCAGAGATGCCCGTGTTCAGTGGAGCACATGGGTGGGGTGGGTACCCTGGCTCTGGACTCTCTCCTAACACACTTGTGCTTTGATGACAGTCTGCAGGAGCTGCCTGGTGAAGTACCTGGAGGAGAACAACACCTGCCCCACCTGCAGGATCGTGATCCACCAGAGCCACCCCCTGCAGTACATCGGGTGAGTGTGGGCCTCCCAGGCCACAGTACGTCGGTGAGTGCCCCCAGGCATCTCTGTGAGTGTGGGCATTCCCAGGCCACCGTACGGAGTGAGTGCCCCCAGGAGTCTCTGTGAGCGTGGGTGTTCCCAGGCCACAGTATGTGGGGTGAGTGCCCCCAGGCGTCTCTGTGAGTGTGGGCCTTCCCAGGCCATAGTGCTGTACCCCCATCCTGCCTTGGCAGCAGCCTCTCCTGACCAAGGGCACCCCAGGAGCTGCACACGAAGAACCTGGGTCCAGCACTTACCAGGCCACACTGCCAGGCCTGCCCAGACTGTGCCTGCAGATACATTTCCATCAATACTTAGTCAAGTAGGCCGAGTGCAGTGGCTCACACTTGTAATCCCAGCACTTTGGGAGACCGAGGCGGGCGGATCACCTGAGGTCGGAAGTTTGAGACCAGCCTGACCAACATGGAGGAACCCCATCTCTACTAAAAATACAAAATCAGCCAGGCGTGGTGGTGTGTGCCTGTAATCCCAGCTACTCGGGAGTCTGAGACAGGAGAATCGCTTGAACCCAGGAGGCGGAGGTTGCAGTAAGCGGAGACTGTGCCGTTGCACACCAGCCTGGCAACAGAGCAAGACTCTGTCTCAAAAAAAGAGAAAAAACATAGTCAAGTTAAATCATTGGAGAACTGTCAAGACCCAGGTTGAATGTCATGAGTTTCATGCAGAATTTGCTGAAGTTAAATTTGATGTGAGCTGGCCCTTGGATCCACCTTCCACCTTTCTGCCGTGGAACAGGTGGTCCTGGCCCTGCTGCCCCTGGCACATGGCCGGGATCTGTCTCCCTGTGCCACGCTCTTCTGCCCAGGGTCACAGAGAGCCTCGACTCACCACTGGGCCAGCCACTGTTTCTGGAGAAGGCAACTCTGGCCTGGACGTGAGCAGGAGGCCAAGGGGCCAGCCAGGTGGAGCATGTAGTTCTCACACAGACTTGTGCTCCAAAGGAAGGGAAATGCTCCCCATACCACAGAGGGTAGTAGAGATAATTCTGAAGACACATTTTGAAGGAGGAAAGGCCGATGTGTTTGTTTTTCCCTTTTATTTTTATTATTATTATTTTAAAATTTTATTTATTTATTTTTGAGATGGAATCTCGCTGTCACCAGGCTGGAGTACAATGGCGCCATCTCAGCCTGCTGCAAGCTTCGCCTTCTGGGTTCAAACGATTCTCCTGCCTCAGCCTCCCGAATAGCTGGGATTACAGGCGCCTGCCACCAAGCCTGTCTAATTTTTGCTTTTTTTTTTTTTTTTTTTGGAGACGGAGTCTCGCTCTGTCGCCTAGGCTGGAGTGCAGTGGCCGGATCTCAGCTCACTGCAAGCTCCACCTCCCGGGTTTACGCCATTCTCCTGCCTCAGCCTCCTGAGTAGCTGGGACTACAGGCACTCACCACCTCGCCTGGCTAGTTTTTTGTATTTTTTTTAGTAGAGACGGGGTTTCACCGTGTTAGCCAGGATGGTCTCGATCTCTTGACCTCGTGATCCACCTGTCTCGGCCTCCCAAAGTACTGGAATTACAGGCTTGAGCCACCGCACCCGGCCAATTTTTGCATTTTTAGTAGAGATGGGATTTCACCATGTTGGCAAGGCTGGTTTCAAACTCCTGACTTTAGGTCATCCGCCCACCTCGGCCTCCCAAAGTGCTAGGATTACAGGTGTGAGCCACCGCGCCCAACTCTTACAGACTTTTCTTTACATTATTTGGAAACATTCTAGAAAGGCCTCTGTTCAGTGGAAATCCCACAAAGACCAGGATACCCCAGGAAGCAGTTGGTGGGAGGGGCAGGGATAGTGTCCCCTGAGCGCACGGGACGCAGGGAACCTCGGGTGTCCGCAGGGACAGTGTCCCCTGAGCGCACGGGACGCAGGGGACCTCGGGTGTCTGCAGGGACAGTGTCTCCTGAGCGCACGGGACACAGGAAACCTGGGGTGTCCGGCAGACAGAAGCACGGGTTCCCAGAATAACCTTATCTGTCATTATTTCGAATGTAAGCAGCCAGAGCCCAAATTAAATGATGCATTAATTCAAGTCATACATAGCTTTTGGTGACACAAACATTTTTTCATTTGTAAACTAGAAGTAAAATTCCAACAGAGTTCCCGACTGGTGATTCTGAACTTTGATATTGTTAAATGGAAAATGTACAAGAATTATAGAATTAACATTTCTGGCTAACTCCACCTTTCTGTTCTTTCGCCAGTCATGACAGAACCATGCAAGATATTGTTTACAAATTGGTACCAGGCCTCCAAGAAGGTGAGTGTCCGACTGTCTCGCTGATCTCTGAGGTCCCAGGCTGGCCTCTGCAGCTGCTGCTCTCCTGGAAGTTTGGTTCTCGGATGGGAGGTCCCTTTCCTTTTGGTCGAATCACTGTCTTCTCATCCCTGCTCTCAGCCCATCTTTATCTCCTTGGCTGGTCTCTTCTTTTGTCTGTCTAGGATGCGTAGACATCTTTCTACCCCTTCTCTGTATTTATTCACAAGTATGCATCACATGTTTAGTGCATGGGACCCCCAGGGCTCAATGCAGCTCCTGCCCCGCCCAGGACCCTGCCTTCTTCCTGGGCCCCACCTCCTGTCCCAGACCTGCCTCCCCCCATCCCACAGCACCAGCCTCCCCACAACAGAGGAGCAGCACATTGGCAGAGCGGGTAGCTGGTGTTTCTAGAAAAACTTCACTGTAAAGTCAAATTTCATTTAGAATTAAAAGAAATACCAGGTAGTACAAATACCCTGCAAGTGGAAATCGGTTGCTTGGGGATCACTCGGCTGAAAGCTCCCTGGCTCCCGACGCTCGCACAGTGGTGGTGGCCCTCCGCTGGCGACTGGGAAGGAGGCCAAGGAGGGGCCAGGTCAGCACCAGGTGGGCTGTCCTGGCATTCTGCTCATCAGACCTTTCAAAGGCGGATAGAGAAGCTGAGAATTCACTTGGGCTGGTTCTCACTGTATCTCAGAAGAGGGTTAGAATTCAAAACGCAGCTGAATATGCCAGATCCATAGAAATCGTATCTCACCTTTAATGCGTGACCCAGAGAATCACACTGTTAAGAGGTTTCTTTCCCTACTCACAGAGTTCATTCATGCAGGAAGAATTTAGATTTCCTGAGTAAACGTAGATGAAACAATTAGTCTTTTAATATCTGAAAGTTTTTTAGTCCTGGGAAAAGGCAAAGGATACATTCGAGTAAAATGCTGACACCTTAAGAAACGTTTGCACCGAGTGTTTCAGACGCGTAGCAGTGGGTGGGATTGGGGCAGGACCCTGAGTTTTGTGACCCCCCACCAGTGCTGACACCTTAAGAAACATTAGTGGCCGGGCGCAATGGCTTATGCTTGTAATCCCAGCACTTTGGGAGGCCGAGGTGGGTGGATCATCAGGTCAGGAGTTTGAGACCAGCCTGACCAACATAGTGAAACCCTGTCTCTACTAAAAATACTAAAAATACAAAAAAAAAAAAAATGAGCCAGACGTGGTGGCAGGTGCCTGTAATCCCAGCTACTCAGGAGGCTGAGGCAGGAGAATCGCTTGAACCTGGGAGGCAGAGGTTGCAGTGAGCCGAGATCATACCACTGCGCTCCAGGCTGCATGACAGAGCAAGACTCTGTCTTAAAAAAAAAGTTTGCACTGGAGTGTTTCAAACGCATAGCAGTGGGCAGGATTGGGGCAAGAACCTCGAGTTTTGTAACCCCCCCACCCCCTGCCAGCAGTTTCCAGGCTTTGCTGCACCTACTGCTCCCTCAGCCTCGCCCCATGGCCTTTGATCTGTAAAGGGTACAGTACTATCCCGAGAAGATAAGGGTTCTTAAAGCTCATAACCACATACCTTTATAACATTTAGGAAAATGGTGGAGATTCCTTAAAACCAAATAGTCCCTCAGCGCGGACATTTCTAGTTGTCTCATAAATGCTGTGGTTTTTGGTGGTTGTTTATTTATTTTTTATTATTTTTTTGAGACCCAGTCCCTGTCGCCCAGGCTAGAGTGCAGCGGTGCTATCACAGCTCACCGAAGCTTCAACCTCCCGGGCTCAAGTGCTTCTCCCACCTCAGCCTGCCGGGTTGCTGGAACTATAGTCAAGCACCACCATGCCTGGCTAATTGTTTGTAGGGATAGGGTTTTGCTGTGTTGCCCAGAGTGGTCTTGAACTCCTGGTCTCAAGCAGTCCTCCTGCCTCGGCCTCCCAAAGTGCTGGGATTACAGGTGTGAGCCCCCACACCCAGCCTGTTTTTATTCCAGTCAGGATCCAGAGAATGCCACTGACTCACGGGCCTCTTTCTGGCTCCCTCCTGCCTCTGCCTTCCCATCGTCCTGGGCTGTCCTGTGGCAGTAGACCTGGGTCGCATTCCGGCTGTGTTTTTGGCAAGCCCGCTTCTGGGAGTCCCTCAGGGCAGGTGTTGTCCACGTGCTGAGGAGGGTGGCACTGAGATCTGCATGCCGCCCCGTTCCATCACCCGTCTCTGTGTGTTAGTTGGAGTGCTTCCAGAAAACCAGAAAGACACACTTTGCTATTTGGTCCATTTTGTGTAGGAAGGGCTGAAAAAAAACTATTTCCTTCATTTGTGTTCAAAACAGCAAGCTGGTTTCCCTGCCTCTGCAGTCAGGGGTTTGACCTGTGTGTTCTGCATGCGCCGTGCTCGTGTCCTTCCTGATGCTCCAGTCCTCATCTGCAGCCAGCGGGCGCCTCTTCATGCCCCGGGGTCTTGGGTGGTCCCTGTCCAGGACACAAGGCTCTTGGGGCTGCCCTGCCTCTTTGCCCGAGGACCCAGGTTCCTCCTTCGGGTGCCCTGCCTCTTTGCCCGAGAGCCCGGGTTCCTCCTCAGGGGACAGTGGTGTCTCAAGGCCAGCAGACCCGTGCACAGTGGCACCTTCCCGTGGAACTTGAGCTTGTGCAGGGAGGGCACAGTGTGTCCAGCCTGGAGCAAGTTGTGTGTTCTCGTCCACCTCAGCACGCTCTTGTCCAGCATGGATGCTGCCAACTCCAGTCTACACTGAAGAAGTCGAGAGGGAGGAGGTTCCGGAGTGCTCCAGATTCACACCCCCAGGGCACGGTGGCCCCGAGCCGTCCCCCTGACAAGCTCCTCTCTCTGGCCACCGTATTTCCCATTGGGTCAATATTCTTTTTGTTGTTGTTTCTCAAACTTTCAGTCATTTGTGGCTCTAGGAAGGAGGATTCTAACTTTAAAACTCTTAGCAGTGCACCTGTTTTCTTGATGGAGGCTACTTGCAATTTGTTTGGTTTTATCTGTGGGGCAGACAATCGTAAACCTGATTTCTCCAACCAGAGGCCTCTTCCTGAAATGCGCATTAGCTGCAAGGATGCAGTGGTGAGGTGAGGCGAGGCGTCAGCCCTTGAGGGTCCAGGTGCCTGTTTTGGAGGAGACGCCGACCGGGTGCAGCCTCTCCCACCTGGGCGCCAGGCAGGCCCTCCACACTGTCCCCGTCCCGCCCGTGGTGGAGGCTTGCTGGAAGAGAGTTCCCTGCTAGACCACAGGTGGGGTTAGGGTTTTAGTGGTTTGTTGTTTCTTTTTGTTTTTATAAAATTTTTTTTTTTTTTAATTTTTTTGAGACGGAGTCTCGCTCTGTCACCCAGGCTGGAGTGCAGTGGCAACGATCTCGGCTCACTGCAAGCTCCGCCTCCCGGGTTCAAGCGATTCTCCTGCCTCAGCCTCCTGAGTAGCTGGGACTACAGGCGCCCGCCACCATGCCCGGCTATATATATATATATTTTGTATTTTTAGTAGAGACAGGGTCTCACCATGTTAGTCAGGATGGTCTCAATCTCCTGACCTCGTGATCCACCCACCTCGGCCTCCCAAAGCGCTGGGATTACAGGCGTGAGCCACCATGCCCGGCCTATCAAAGTGTCCGTTCTCAGTTTCTGCCCTCTCTGGGCTCTTTCACTTGGTGGGCGTGTCATAGTCTTTGGTGTGCCAGGCTCCTCTCCGTTCCTGGGGAGGGCCGTGGGGCTTGCATGCTCACCAGTCCTCTCTAGGCTCCTCTCCGTTCCTGGGGAGGGCCGTGGGGCTCGTGCGCACCAGTTCTCTCTACACGGATCCTGAACATGCCTGTCACCTCTTGCTTTAGAAACGTGGGGACCGGACACAGTGTCTCATGCCTGTAGCCCTAGCACTGTGGGAGGCCGAGGCAAGAGGATCCCATGAGCTAAGAATGTTTCTTTACATTTTTAAATAGTCCGAAAAAATCAAAAGCATCGTATTTTATGATGTGAAAATTTAAGAATTGAAATTTCATGGTGCGTAGTCTGGAACTGGCCCCACTGGCTCAGCGGTGGTCTGCCTTCACCCGTCCGTGGTGCAGTTGAGTGTGCGCCGGGCGTGTGCTGCCTGCCTGCTGGTGGCTTTGAACAGCTCTCTGTGCGCCCTGGCTGGAAATCATCATCACCGCGTCGGCACGTTTTCACACCCACCGCATGGCCTTCACATCAGAACAAGGAAAGGAAAAAAGGGGACTTCAGGGTTGCACTTTGAAGCCACAGTGAACTGTGGATTGTTTTGTTGTTGAACTGCCATTGTTGATGGCAAAGCACTGAGTTTGTCATCCGTGATACTGTAGCTATGCCGAGAGCAAACAGCTGATGATGGAGTCATCACTCAACACCAGCAATATCCCCCCTTACAGGAAAGCAGTATTTAGACACCAGCAATATTCCCCACTCACAGGAAAACAGTATTTAGAAAATACTGAAGTTTTAAAATGGAATGTCTCATCACAGCAGAATTTCCTCTCAGAAGTGAAAATGAAATACGGCTGTAATCAGAGTAAGCTTCCAGTTGTCTGATTCGTTAGCCTTGTGCCAACAGTGAGCTCATCAGATCAGGCTGGACTGCCATGGCTAAAAAGCAGTGTCCGGAGACAGTGAGCTCTTATTTATTTATTCATTCATTCATTCAATCACTTTTGAGATGGAGTTTCACTCTTGTTGCCCAGGCTGAGTGCAGTGGCATGATCTCAGCTCACCGCAACCTCCGCCTCTCAGGTTCACACAGTTCTCCTATCTCAGCTTCCTGAGTAGCTGGGATTACAGGCACCTGCCACCATGCCCAGCTAATTTTTTGTATTTTAGTAGAGATGGGGTTTCACTGTGTTGGCCAGGCTGGTGTCGAACTCCTGACCTCAGGTGATGCACCCGCCTCAGCCTCCCAAACTTCCAGGATTACAGGTGTGAACCCCCGCCCGGCCCCAATAAATGTTTGGATGCCTCTATACACCTGACACTGAGTGCTACTATTTTTAATCCTTTTTTATTCTTCTAGGTGAAAATTAAAGAAATGGAAATTAGAGCCAAAGGTCTGAAGCTGAGTTGTTTTCCACTGTGTCCATGGGGCTCTCTCCTTTGCGTGGACCCATATGACCTTTCTGTCATTCCCATTACAGCTCTTCTGGAGACTGATGGGCACAGCCTCCTGCTGTCAGCCCCCGTCTTCCAGGCCTCCATTTCCAGCTGCTGGGATGTGATTATTTAAGGGAAACATTCTCTTTCAAGCTGCTCTCAGATTGTCCAGGCTAATCTTTCAGCATTTCCCTTGTGAAGCTCCAGCACTCCATCCACCTGAGGCCGGCCACACCTATCCCCTTGGCTCTCGGGGTCCCCTCCTGTCTCTACCCAGGCTCTTGGGGTCCCTTCCTCTCCCCAGGCTCTCGGGGTCCCCCCTCTCTACCCAGGCCCTCAGGGTCCCCTCCTGTCTCTATCCAGGCTCTCAGGGTCCCCTCCTCTCCCCAGGCTCTTGGGGTCCCCTCTTCCTAGGCTCTTGGGGTCCCCTCCTCTCTCTACCCAGGCTCTCGGGCCCCCCTCCTCTCTCGGCCCAGGCTCTCGGGCTCCCCTCCTCTCTCTGCCCAGGCTCTTGGGCCCCCCTCCTCTCTCTGCCCAGGCTCTCGGGGTCTCCTCCTCTCCCCAGGCTCTCGGGGTCCCCTCCTCTCTCTACCCAGGCTCTCGGGCCCCCCTCCTCTCTCTGCCCAGGCTCTCGGGCCCCCCTCCTCTCTCTGCCCAGGCTCTCGGGGCCCCCTCCTCTCTCTACCTAGGCTACTGTGTTCCTGAGCAGTGACCCACGTCGTCCACTCCATTGCCTGGGTGTGAACTTAAGGTCACATTTAGGGGGCCTTTGCTGAGAGTCCGTTTGCTTTTCCCTGGAACCTGCAAGGTTCTGGCCTGCTCTTGCTGGCCATCCCTGGAGGGTCAGTCCTCTTCTGGTCCGACCAGCGGAGGCCGCATGCTGACTGCCTCGAGCTGGAGTGACCCAATGGCAGGTGTGGGTGAGGAGGAGGATGCCTGTCTGTGGTCGGGCAGTCTCTTCCCTGGAATTTGTGCCTGTGGTTGTGGCCACAGACACCGGGGGGCACTCTTAACCCACTGCCAGGCAACGTGGCGCCAGAGCCCATAGCTGTGAGCAGCCGTCGCAGCAGGCTGTGGACTCAGGCACCCGGGACACATGGTCCCCGGGGCTGTCGGGCCCTCGAGGGCTCTCTTGGGGTTCCTCAATGGTGGCCTTTGGTGCCTGTGAGCTGGCAGGGTCTGCCACCACGCAGAAGCATGGGGAGAACCCAGTGGCAGGTTCATTCTCTGAGCTGCCGGCGTCCAGGCAGTTCACTGGCTCAGCTGTGAGGTCAGCAATGATGTTTGACACGGCACCCATGTGGCCACAGTGTTTATCAAGCCCCCAGTGATGGTTGGTTCTGCGACACTGGACACTCACAGGCGGTGGCCGAGGTGGGGATGACAGTCCCACAGCTGGGCTTCCTGGGCTCCATGCCTGTCCTAGGCCTGGAGCAGCCGGCCTGCGACTCAGCGTCCCATGTGGGCTGGTGGGGCGGGTGCCCGGGGGGTGCACCTCCTGCTGTGCTGAGCCCTGAAAACATCCCAGTCTTAATTTGCTGCTTTCTTATTAGTAGCCTTCAAACTTCATAATGCAAATCCGTAATTTTCTTTATGTGATGTTTATGAACAGAAGTTTAATATAATCCACTGCCTGTGTAAGATTAACGACTGTGTGTTGATTTTCTGTAGCGGAAATGAGAAAGCAGAGGGAGTTCTATCACAAATTGGGCATGGAGGTGCCTGGAGACATCAAGGGGGAGACCTGCTCTGCAAAACAGCACTTAGATTCCCATCGGAATGGTGAGTGCCCTGCGTGCCCATCGAGAAGCCCCAGGAATCCCTGCACGAGGCCTTTTCTTAAAGAGCTGGCACTGTCTGCCAGGCTCTCCCACACGTACTCGGGAGAAAATGAAGGAACCTGAGGGTGCGGGGAGGTTAGGGTTCGAGGCCTTCCTCCTCACTCCTGGTACCAGTGGGAATGTGGGCAGAGGGGAGAAGCGGGGGTCCTGGAGGGGTGAGACCAGCAGGGGAGAGCAGGAGGGCCCCCTGAGAGTGCCTGGGGGGCAGAGGTCAGGGGTCGGAGAGCCTGTGGAAAAAGTAGTGGAAGGTGAACTTCCTGAGACTTGGCTTGGCTTGGTTTACTGTAAAATGGCAAAATAATGGTTTGGTTTCTGTGTAAAGGGAATGGTATGTTCAGATCTGAGTGTATCACAAGAGATTTTCATGTCTTGAGGACATTTTATTTTCCTAATGGACCACACAAACTCTTAAGAAATGTTTAGGCTCCTCTGTGTATCTGTGACGGTTGGAGGGATAAGAGGGGCCTGGCTCTGTCACTCCCACGGCTTTGGGGGTCCCAGGAAGCGCAGCCGTGAGGGGTCCTTAGGAAGCGTGTCTGGGAACCAAGCAGTCCTATCAGAACCGTTTTACCTGAGGGGAAGTTTTCATTTTAAATGCAGTGTTAGAATAGTGGATTTTTAGCAGAAGGCTTTCAGATGGAGGGCTGATGGGGTCAGCCCTGAGCAGCTCTGGGCGGGCCTGGCCAGGTGGGTGCGAAGCATGTCTGTGTCCCACACTGGCTCCGGCTGCCCCGTCCCTGTCTTCTGTGCTCCCCACGCCTGCACTCACAGACCCACGCGTCCATTCTGCCTCCCGGGGAGACCCCTGCAGACGCTTTGCAGACGGCTTTCCTTTGACTCTTACTCTGCTCCGGGGGTCCAGAGTCTCCTAATGGAATGAATTTTTGACGGCATTTGGAGCACAGTGGAGTTTTTTAAATGGCTTGACAGTTTGGATTTCATGGTGCACTATGTTCTGTTTGTGCTAAAAGGTGAAACCAAAGCAGACGACAGTTCAAACAAAGAGGCCGCGGAGGAGAAGCCGGAGGAGGACAACGACTACCACCGCAGCGACGAGCAGGTGGGCGGGGCCCCGGGGCTTCCGGATGCTCCTGTATTTGGAACCATGAGCAGGTGGGCGGGGCCCCGGGGCTTCTGTATTAGTGCTCCCCAGGGAGCCTTGAGCAGGTAGGTAGGCCCCCAGGGCTTCTGTATTATTGCTCCCCAGGGACCCTGAGCAGGTGGGCGGGGCCCCAGGGCTTCTGTGTTAGTGCTCCCCAGGGACCCTGAGCAGGTAGGTGGGGCCCCGGGGCTCCAGGACGCTCCTGTATTAGTCTTCCTGTAATAGTGCAGTGCCAGGAGCACCGAGGGAGGGCTCACACCAGAAACCTTCCCTCAGGATGAAGTGATGCCCAGCACCCAAGGGCTGCAGTTTTCTTCCTCCCGACTTCTTCGTTTTTCTTTTTTTAAAATTACCAGAGGAACATGTGCTTAGGGTAAAGCATGGCAGATATAAAACGTGGCAGGTCAGCGGCCGGCTCTGGTCTCTCAGCCCCGTGGCCCGAGTTGTGTGCCTTTTCCCCCGGGCACGTCTCTGTACGTCTGTGAATGTTATGTGAAAGAAGGCAAAGCCCGGCAGTGTGTTGAAAGTGAGAGTGAACGTCAAAGGCCTCTTCGTGTGTCCGTGTGTCATTTACTGTATTACCAGATGAAGACAGAAAAACTACGTGGTCACAGACATGCAGTAAAAGAATTTAGTGAAATTCCATACCCACGTTTAGAGAACTTTTTTTGGGGGGGTGGAGTTTTGCTCTTGTCTGCCAGGCTGGAGTGCAGTGGCACCATCTTGGCTCACTGCAGCCTGTGCTTCCTGGGTTCAAGCGATTCTCCTGCCTCAGCATCCTGAGTAGCTGGGACTATAGGCGCCTGTCACCACGCCTGGCTAACTTTTGTATTTTTAGTAGAGACAGAATTTCACCACACTGGCCAGGCTGGTCTTGAACTCCTGACCTCAGGTGACCTGCCTGCCTCAGCCTCCCAAAGTGCTGAGATTACAGGCGTGAGCCACTGCGCCCGGCTGAGTAATGGGACCTTAACTTTTTAGTTTATACTTATGCATTGTTTAAAAGGTTCAGTGAGCATTACAGATATAGACACGTGTGTCCAACGTGGGATGTGATGGCGTTGCCTTTTGGGTCAGTGGAGAAGAGCAGCCAGTTCAGACAAGGGGTCCGGAGGGGCAGGAAGAGAGGAAATCGCCTTCTTCTTTAATGACCCCTGGTTTCACTGCCATGCTTGGTTCCTGGTGTTTACGTGCCTGATGCTTCCTCTGTTGGTGGCTTGGCGGCTCTTCTGGAACTACGCTGCTCTCTCTGTGGCGTTGGTCTTGTCTGCGCTGAGGCCCTGGGTCTTTCCTGGTTGGCCTTTGTTAGTTACTTGTCCTTAGAGCAGTTCCCCCGTGGTGAGGAGCCCCCTGGGATCTTGTGGAAATTCGGTTTTGGGGTCTGCTGGGTGGGCTGGTGTTCCAGAGGGGTGCAGGCTGCTGCTCCCCTTTCCTCTGGTGTGGTTTTCCACGGATCGATGTGAAGCTGTGTGTGATGTCCTCCTCCAGTTTAATCTCTGTTTTGCAGTTTTAAATTTATATCAGTGCTTATTTTTACTAATATTTACCTTTTCTTTTGATCCTTGATGTGCTAAAGATTTATTTGTTGCTTTCAAAAGAGCCAATTTTTTTTTAATTGATCAAACATTGAATTTTCTTTTTTTCTTTCTTGAGATGAAATTTTGCTCTTGTTGCCCAGGCTGGAGTGCAATGGCACAATCTCGGCTCACTGCAACCTTTGCCTCCCATGTTCAAGTGATTTTCCTGCCTCAACCTCATGAGTAGCTGGGATTGCAGGCGTGGGCCACTACGCCCGGCTAATTTTGTATTTTTAGTAGAGACGGGGTTTCTGCATGTTGGTCAGGTTGGTCTTGAACTCCCGACCTCAGGTGATCTGCCCGCCTCGGCCTCCCAAAGTGCTAGAATTACAGGCATGAGCCACCACGCCCTATTGAATTTTCTTTTTTCTTTTTTGAGACAGAGTCTCACTCTGTCACCAGGCTGGAGTACAGTGGCACAATCTTGGCTCACTGCAACCTCCGCCTCCTGGGTTCAAGCGATTCTCCTGCCTCAGCCTCCTAAGTAGCTGGGATTACAGGCACGCCCTGCCACGCCCAGCTAATTTTTATATTTTTAGTAGAGATGGGGTTTCACCATGTTGGCCAGGCTGGTCTTGAACTCCTGACCTCGTGATCTACCCACCTCGGCCTCCCAAAGTGCTGGGATTACAGGCATGAGCCCCCATGCCCAGCCTTGCTGAATTTTCTTAAAACATTTTTTTTTTTCTGACATCTTGAGTTAAAAGTCTTTTGTTGGCCAGGTGCGGTAGCTCACACCTGTAATCCCAGCACTTTAGGAGGCTGAGACAGGTAGACCATGAGGTTAGGAGATCAAGACATCCTGGTTAACATGATGAAATCCCGTCTCTACTAAAAATACAAAAAAATTGGCCGGGCACAGTGGCTCACACCTGTAGTCCCAGCTACTCGGGAAGCTGAGGCAGGAGAATGACATGAACCCGGGAGGCGGAGCTTGCAGTGAGCAGAGATCACGCCACTGCACTCCAGCCTGGGCGACAGAGCGAGACTCCATCTCAAAAAAAAAAAAAAAAAAAAAAAAGTCTTGTTGTTCTTTGAGACAGGATCTGGCTGTCTCATCCAGCCTGGAGTGCAGTGGTATAATCACAGCTCCCTGCACTCTCCGCCTCCTGGGCTCCTGCCCAAGCCTCCAGAGTAGCAGACACTGTTGGCACACCACACCAGTTAACTTTGTAAATTTTTTGTAGCAATGGAGTCTTGCTGTGTGGCCTAGGCCGGTCTGAACTCCTGGGCTCAAGCAGTCTGCCTGCCTCAGTCTCCCACAGTGCCAGGATTCCAGGCATGAACTCGCATGCCTGCCCAGTCTTTGTAAGTGCATTTCTGGCTGCGTGTTTCTTGTGTGCTCCTGGCTTCTCCCTGCAGACTTTTATGAGTAATATTTTCACTGGCATTCATTTCTAAAGAAGCTGTAATTTCATCAGAGTTCCTTTTTTTTTTTTTTGAGACGGAGTCTCGCTCTGTCGCCCAGGCTGGAGTGCAGTGGCCGGATCTCAGCTCACTGCAAGCTCCGCCTCCCAGGTTCACGCCATTCTCCTGTCTCTGCCTCCCGAGTAACTGGGACTACAGGCGCCCGCCACCTCGCCCAGCTAGTTTTTTGTATTTTTTTAGTAGAGACAGGGTTTCACCATGTTAGTCAGGATGGTCTCAATCTCCTGACCTCGGGATCCGCCCGTCTCGGCCTCCCAAAGTGCTGGGATTACAGGCTTGAGCCACTGTGCCCATCCCAGAGTTCCTTTTTAATCGAGAAGTTTGTTCTGAAGTATTCGAGAAGCATGGCCTTTTTGGGTTCCATCCACTCTCCTTTCTAGTCTCCTTCCCAAGCGGTCAGGGAGTATTGTCTGCGCGGACCTCCGCCTTGGGGGATTGAGATCTTCTTTCTTGTTCAGTTGGGTACAGATTTTCCAAGGGTCCTGGGGTGATTTTCCTTTGGCTGAGTTTGCTGGTTGCTGTAGTGGGTAAACAAGCAGACCCCGGGGGCCAGTTGTCCACTTCCTGCTCTGCCTTTAGCCAGGGCGTGGCCTTCACAAGTGACCTACCTCTGCCTCGGTTTCTGTGTCTGTGGTGTGAGGTGGTGATGAGATTGCCTCGAGGTTTTTAGGAAGATTAAATGATTTCCTACTTGTGAGGCACCTTGAGGTGTTACGTTGAATGAATGAGAAGCAAGCAGGCATCCTGGGAGATTGTTAACTCCGACATTCAAGTTCGGTGGTTTTTCTTGTTGACGCACCCCTTTAGATTCCTGTTTTCTCTGTTGCTCTGTAACCTCGCAGTGATGCTTAGGAGCCGTGCTGCTGGGTGTGCAGACTGGTGGTTCTTATATAGTTTTGATGACTTGCACCTTTTGCCAGTGTGGATTCTTTGTTTTCTTTTTTTCCTGTTCAGTGTGTTTTTGCTCTAACCCCCCTTTCTCTTGTACTAATATCGCTACTGTTGCTGTTGGGCTCTGCTTCCACCCTCCCTGTCATTTGTCTCAGGTGTGTTACGGAGGCTTTTGCTTTGCTTTTTTACACCCATCTCAGGTTATCTTTGATAGGGGAGTTTAACCCGTTGTCTTTGTTGTGAGAAAACACATCTTCTTCCCCTCTCTACCCTTGAGGGCCTGGATCAGGTTTTGCTGTCTTCTTTCTCTGCTCTGATGGTTTGGAAATTTTGCATTCTCTTTCTGTTCTTCTTGTGGCTGCTCTTAAACTTGGATTCCGTGTCCGTTTGTGGGATTATCTGCATCTGTAACTTTTGTGATGAGTTCCTGATCCCCGTCTTTCAAAACTTGGCAGTCATCTGAGGGTTTGTTCCAGATTGTTTTTGGTAATTTTAAAATTTTATTTCACACTAATTTTATTCTAGGAATCGCTTCCTCATCTTACTGAAGTTTTGATGTGACATTATAGTTATTTAGACTTAACCAGAGGTTGCGTGGGTTTTCTGGGCGTTTCTGGTGTCTTCCTGCTGTGTTTGGATTTGTGCTTTGCCACGTCCTCATGTCACTTCCGAGCCCAGCGCAGTGGCCCCTAAGCTCCTGCCAGTCACGGGCTCTGTGTTGTCCCCCTCACACCAGTGACAGTCGTTTCTTCTCTTAACTCTTAAACCCTTCTCAGTCATTCGGATGACCTGATTAAATTATGTACTTTTCATACTAAGCATTTAAAAAGAACACACACACACACAGATGAGGGAAACACCCGCCGCCCAGGCCCATGTCTCTGCTCCCAGCCTTGTGCCCTCCCCGGTGGCCCCTCCGAAGGGCATGAGGGTGTGGATGCTGTGCCTGTGCCTGGAGGCTCTGGCCCCTCCGACCCCTGGCTGGGCTCCAGCTCTAGGTTTGTTCAGCAGCCAACTCGGAGCAGCCGAGGCTCAGGGTGGCATCAGCCGGCCATGCTGGCT